TACAAAATAGGAAAATCTTTCAAACTGTTTTTAAAAAACATATACAAAATGTTTAAACATCTACTGAAACGACTAAGATTATTGTCAACATTTGAACACTCCAAGTATGACTGCATTTAGAAGCAGTATTAGATCTCAGTACCATGAATTTGAGAAGGTGTCTGTTATTTCTGTATTGTTTCTCTGAAACAGATGTGCAAAATTATGACTTCACAAATCTATTTGTATTAGAAGAAACAGGATTGATACAAATTAATACAGATTGGTAGAAAAAGTCATGACGGATGTTTATAAGACAGTGCCCTGAAAAAATATTTTTAGGTGTTCAATTAGCACATTTAAATAGCTGATGAGATGAACAATTCTGATAGGTATCAGATGTCTCTTGGCCCTCTGGTATGTTAGCAGACATGACCCTTCAAGCTATGTTTGGTGGATCCAACTTTTTGTTTGATATTTGCACCTCCCACATCTCTGCCTGCTTTGATCAACACACACTTGGACTACAGTGGGTGGTGATATCAATCACCTCCAGTACAGTTACAGAAAAGTCACTATTCCAGTCAATGAAACTTGATAATATTTATCTTACTTTATCTCATCAGACCTCAAAGTTAGTAACACCTTATTTATAATAAAAAATACCATGCCTTTGATTTTCATGTCAGAGGATGCCACACAATTATTTGGAAATCAGTAAGTCCATAAATTCATGTTACTTGTAGTACTAAGGAGGGTCTCCCAAGGCTATAGCTCCCAACTGCTAAAAAGGCATCCAGTAAAACCCTCTTCTGAGTTAAGACAACCCATTTGGCTATAACACTACTGCTATTGCCCTGAATAACCAATAACTAATGTGTATTTGTCCAATCTCCACAAGAAGAGTACACTGACTCCAGGAAGCTTATACTTACTCTGCATTAGGGAATATTATGGGTAGTATCACAATCATTATTAGGGTGCAGGGTTAATCAACCACTGAAGGCAGAGTATTGAAAACCAGGAATTACTTCTTTCTTCACTCAGGAAACTGCTTCAGCTCAATGTTTCTGCAAGATTTGAGACAGAAAACTACCTCACGTACCCTTGTCCCACTTACTGACATATAACCATTTTAATCAACACAAGATAAATATTCATGTAATTTACTACTGGGATTATGCACCGATCTCAACCATAGGACTAGTAACCAGATTTTGGGATCCAAGTTATTAATAATACTCTTCGATCTCAGTACGCTTCCTGTGGACCAGCTGTCTTTGGCAGAGATAGCACAGACACCAACTTCCAAAGCAGCCACACAGCACACCTTCAAAGGTGACAGAATGGAAAAACGGGATCGATTTTTAGGTGTCTTGTATATGTCCTCTGAAATAATACCCAGTTCTACCTAGCACAACCATGAAAACTTGGCACTAGATTTCATGTAATGTGATTTATGTGCTCTCACAAAGAGAAAAGAATGAGAAACAAAAAGCTGGTGCTCATGAAACAGAACTTTATGCTGGTGTACCCAACACTACATGTTTCTACAAAGAGATCAGATTTATGTACGATTCCAAAAGAAATGGATTAACATCAGTTTACAGATCTGACCACGGAAGTCTTGCTGACTACATAACGTGCTGAAGCATAAAAGCTACTTGCCTTGCCTCTAAAACTAACTATGATAGGAAAAACTAATGCTCATTTATATTCTAGATTTTGTTTGCTGTGTCCTTTCATGTTATTGTGCTCAATTTTTGATGTCAAATGCTCTTGCTTATTTATCTCCAGCTATTAAGCATATTGAGTCTTCTCTTCAGCAAACACAAAATTATGAGGAATCTATGCCTGAAAAAAGGCTGACTAGAAACTCCTCAGTGGGATCAAGCGCACCCTTAGCGAATTTGTAGATGTCACCAAGATGAGTGGTGCAGTTAACACACCCGAGGGACAGGATGCCATCTAGAGAAACCTGGACAAGCTTGACAAGGGGTTCCATGTGAATGAACCTCATGAGGTTCAAGAAGGCCCATTGCAAGGTCCTGCACCTGGGTCGGGGCAACCCATCCATGCAGGCTGGGATTGAGATGAAGGGATTGAGAGCAGCCTTGGAGGAAAGACCTGAGGGTACTGGTGGATGAAAAACTGGACATGGGCTGACAATCTGTGCTCACAGCCCTGAAGGCCAACCATATCCTGAGCTGCATCAAAAGAAGCGTGACCACCAGGTCAAGGGCAGTGATTCTGCCCCTCTGCTCTCATGAGACCCCAACTGGAGTACTGTGTCCAGCTCCAGGGCCCCCAACATAAGAAGGACATCAAGCTGTTGGAACCACAAAAAGGATCAGAGGCTTGGAGCACCTCTCCTATGAAGACAGGCTGAGGGAGTTGCAATTGTTTAGCCTGGAGAAGAGGCGGCTCCAGGGAGACCTTATTGCTGCCTCAATACTTACAGGGGGCCTAGAGTAAAGACGGAGACACACTTTTTAGCAGGGCCTGTTGTGATAGGACAATGGCTAATGGTTTTAAACTGAAAGAGGAAGAAGATTCAGACTAGATATAAGGCAGAATTTTTTTACAATGAGGGTGGTGAGACACTGGAACAGGTTGCCCAGAGGGGTGGTAGATGCCCCATGCCTGGAACCATTGAAGATCAGGTTGGACAGGGCTCTGAGCAACCTGACCTAGTTGAAGATATCCTTCCTCATTGCAGGGGGAGTTGGACCAGATGACCTCTAAACGTCCTTTCCAACCCAAACTATTTTATAATTTGTTCAAATTACAAAGGCTTCTGTACTGTACTTAGTGTGCTTTGCAGATTCAAATCCACAGTGGAGAAGATGTAGAAAAGGTCACTGAATTTCCTGCTAAACCTCATGAATATTTCTTTTGGAGCTATTCAAATTTATTTAAGTGGTTGCCTGGATGCAGTCCTGAGTAAAATGCTCTAGCTCTAGGCAATCCTGCTTCAGCAGGGGAGTTGGACTAGATGATCTCTATGGTCCCTTCCAACTCTAGAAATTCAGTGAAATTCAGTGAAATTCTCACTGCTTTTCACTGCTCTGAAAAAGGGAGACAAACAGCAACACTTACAGTTGGTGTATTTAAATATATCAATATCAAAAGATTATCCAAAATAGCACAAGTGTTCCTACCACTCTAAGAGCACAGCTTGCTTCTAAACATATGGGCCACACAGAGCTAAAAACACTACCTCATGTAGAATGCTCAAAACTTACTAATCTTGCCTTTAAAATCATACAAAATTGTTTCAGTAAGAACATCAAATTGATATCCATGAAGTTCCACATGTTTGTGTGTGATTTCCCTTTTCTCTTAATAATTAGTTTTGTTTTACAATTAAGACAATGATTGAATGCCCACCATAACTGACAACAGCCCCTTCTTCAATGAGATGTAGTTGTTTTTATTTTTAGCAGGTATATATAGTCATATAAAACAAGATTAACCTGCAAGGGGTGCAAGTCAGATATATAAGTTTCTGATGACTGTAAAATGACACATAATTTTGTTTCAGTTACTTCTTCCATATTCCAACCACAATTTCAGTATGTATTTTATCTCAAAGTGTATTACTATTAGAAAAAAAAAATCTATCTTCACATGTCTTGACCCAAAGCCTTTACCTCCCTCTACAGTTATTAATGGGGACAGTAAATGCTATGGACCTCATGAAGCATTTATACTGACTACCGTACACTCTTTTCTCACAAACAGACTGTGCTGGATTCTTCTATGATGACTATATGCCTTGACTATATGCCTTGGCCATTACATATAAAACTATATCTGCAGTGGGGATATACAGGAGGAAAAAAAACAATAAAAAAGAAAGGGAGTTAAAAAAAAAAAAAGAGGAGGAACAGTTTAGTTCAGAGGAGACTCTCCTGAGAGGAGACTCTCAGGACAGACTCTAAGACAGCTACTACATACGCAGAATTTAGTATAGACAAAACCTGCATAATTTCATCAGGTAGTTAACAACTGTGCAGAGTTAAGAGTACGAAATCTAAATTACCTTATTGATGCTTCCTCCTGCTACCCCCCAGTCAGTTTCACTAAGTAAGTAAATTTACACATCGGACTTTACAACTGCAAAGACTTAATTATTCAGTAACTTCTAGAGCCCATGTTTATTAAGATACTGGACAATAATTCCTAGTAAGCTTGCCATCAGGTCCACTACACATCTCTTGCATACATGATGAATGTTTTCACACGTGTTTTATTAGGCAGAAATTCACAAACTGGCTCTGGAAGAAAGACTGCTGAGACACAAGATTCCAAGAAAACAACTCACTGAAAATGAGTGCTAATCAGTACAGATGTTCACGAAGGCTGGCACAGCTGTGTTACATGACTGACACCCATGATTTTATGTCTGTAAAGAGCTTAATACTGCTACAGGAACATACTTGTCCAGACCTAGTTTAATAATTTGAATACAGCGTTACACTACTAAACACAGACATACTCCAACACCCTAAGAGCCTTAGATGATATTTAAAAACTCATGTATTAATTGCAGCGTTGAAAAACTGGTACACTGTAAGAATGACTAGTGTTAAAACAGACTTTAATGGAAGACTCAGAAAGCCTTTACCTTTTGTCTCAGTGATGCATGACTACCATGTGTTAACACAGATAGAGAAGCTATAAAAGTCAAACTAACACATGTGTAGAAAGACAAAGTAAAGCATGATAAAAACATAAATACTCTTCATTCGTAACTCACAGGGAAAAATAGAAGTCAAGCAAGTGCTCAGTGTAATAAAATGTAATTTAACGTTTTGGCTCAAACCACTAAATGAAACTAAGAAATGAGAAAGCAAAAGGCTATTTCATCTTCCATAGTTGGAGATCGGCGGGGGGAATAATTTTAATATAATACAAACCTATCAGTGTTGTAACTGCAAAACTGGAATTGAGCTGAAAATCTAACTGAAAACAAGCTGTAAGGAAATGCAAAACCAAAACCAGAGTACGTTCCTTACCTGCGACTAGTTGTTTTCTTTTCTGTCTTAGTTTCTTCCTCTTGAGGCTGCTGTTTAGCATTTTCACTTGTATCAATTTTCAACTTCTTGGCAACGCGTTCTTTCATTTGAGATCTCTCATTGCTAGCAGCTTCATCTTCTACGCTATCAGCATCTTCATCATGTTCTTCTTCCTCCTTTATTGATTTAAAATGATAAAACTTGTCCTTTAGCTTTTTTTTTTTTTAATACAGCATGCTGAATATGGAATGTTTTTCTTATAAAGATAATCTCTTACAAAAACACTCAGAAAAATACTTCATTTCAAATCAAACTTTTCAAACAAATACCTCCTTATTTGCTTCAGAGGAACAAAAATTTAGAAACATGATAATAAAATATTTTTTCATACACAAATTATATCTTTTTTGTATGACTAAAAAAACCTAAAATAGTCTGTTCTACACTGTAAACCCTTGCAGGTCTGCAGAAGACTTCACAGCAATGTGGTATTAGTCTGGTCATTGTCCATGAACCAAAATTTGATCAAGGCAATACATTAAACACTTCCTTCATTTTCCACTAAAAGAAAAATGAAACTTAAGAACTTCCTACCATAGGGCTATACTACAGTCATGATGCAATGGAAGAGGTGTGCTCATCAGTCTCCATGAGGAGACAAGTACCACATTGATCAAAAGAGCTTGTGAAAACCTGTGGAATCGATAATCCCAACTTGCTGCAAGGTACTATGCTTCCAGGCCTAGCACACGAAGGCAAAATGGGATAAACCACCTTGGTTCAAAGATATTCGGAGAGAGAAGTCATTCTTCTCAGTAACGAAGAAGAAGCCTAACTAGACCAAGGGATCTAAGTTTGACTACTTCTGTCCTTGAAGAAGGAAGCCTGCATGAATCGTAGTGGAAGGATGTCAGCTCAAAGACTAGATGATACATCTTTTCATATTTATTTCACAGTGATGCTAATTAGCTAAAGAAAAGGCGTAAGACACTACACTTTTTGTAATTTTAACCACATAGAGAGGAATGACAGACGTAGAAATGCTATTCCAGAGGACTATACTGTATCCAGGAGACTGACAGGGTGTCAGCACTTGGAGAGGAGGAACACTCTAAAGACAATGTACAAGACCTGGATGTGACTGACAGGTAGGAGGAAGAGTATCACGAAGACCCCGTCCATGAACATGGAAGGGGAGAGGGGAGAAATACATAAGACCCAAGGGGCATGATTTTGGGAATAGAAGAGAAAAATCAAGAACTGGATTTCAGATCTTGTATTAGAGTCATTCTTTAGGAATCTTCTAACTACCATGCTTAGATTTTAGATTTAGACAAGAGAAGACCAGTCAGGAATGAAAAACAAAACCTGTGAATATTCAGCATAGTAAAATAGCTGAATATTTTGTTGAAATAACTGAAAGACTGTTGGGGAGTTGGGGTGGAGATGTGTGTTGTCTGTTCATTTTAAATAGTGGAAAGAGAAAAGATCAGCATTTCACTTAACTTTCTTGGAAGTTACTCTTTGACAGAGGAGAGAATGAAAATTTCTGAAGGACTTGCTTACTTCAGAAATTATCAGGGAGATCAGATGACAACAGACCTCATTGGCAGGGAGCAGAATGCAGAAAAGGAACACAACAGGACTGTGTTTGAGGTGTTTAACAGTCAAGGATAAAGACAGACTCCTTGTGCAGATTTGGCTAGGGCCTAGGTAAGAGCATTTCACAAACACGAAGCTGAATAGGAGAGTTTCTAGGATAAAAATGGACAACTGTAGATAAAATGCAATTGCTAAGTAGTAAGCTAATTAAAAATTACAGAAATCTGAATAACAGGAGAGGGGTTCCATGGATAGCATTTTAAAATGGGAGAGACAAAACAGTTCAACTTGTCCAATTCAGCTGAATTCCCTACTTCCCAAAACTTCCATATGCCTCACTCTGCACAGGATTTCATCAGTTTTCTTCTAGAATAATACTGACAAAATAGGATATAACTTTTCTCCTTAACTCCTTCCCTCTCGCAACTCTACTCTTTTCTTCTGCCCAGTCTCTTCCTTCATTCCCATTCCTGTCTCATTAACTCCATCTGACCTTGTATCTTTTAGAGTCTCATTACCACCTAATACATGAACTCAGAAGGGAATTGGCTGTTCAGTTGGATGGTGGTGTTCTTCCAGTGACACAGAAATGCACAACTGTCTGCCTAGAAGCTGGACTAGTTTTTGCTGCTGTTGTTAACTGAGTGGAGTTGTCCTATTCTTCCCTTTGCTCTGGATACAAAAATGTAATGGGAGACTTTGTGTCAGAATGACTAATGGCTACTGTATGTAATATGATTTAGCCATTTGAGAAGATTATTGAATTGGGGGGCAGATATCAAGCTTTACCTATCCATAGTACTACACGAAAATTACTGTTCAGTAACCGACAAAGAGGTAGAGGAAAACAAGTTGTGCAGAAAAAGGAAATGAAAGTATATCACTGGTAAGAAAAAAAATTTCAGTCTTCTGAACACATTTTGTATAATGTTTTCATTAATGACTTAGGCACAAAATGAGGTTTAACAAATAGCAATGAAGTACTGTTAATATAAAGGATTCAACTCTCAAAGTAAGAAATGTATGACCTTGAGGACTGCAATAAGAGAAACAGGATGATATTTAATAGCATGAACAGTAAGGTCAGGCTTTTTGGGAAAAATAAGAAGAATTTCTCTTACACACTAGGGACTTGTTATTTGGGGGTGTTAGGGAGATCTGGAAGAATTATTTGCTCATAGGATGGCAATAAAACTACCAATGTTCTGCAGCCGTGTAAATCTAAAAGTGATCTTGAGGTGTGTTAACTGAAATAAATCCAAGTGAGATGATAAAATACTAGTACCGCTTTACAAGGCTCAGGTGACTGCCTGAAATGCTAGGTTCTAGCTAAGATCTTTCGATGAAATGAAATCTAAGGAGACCACTTGAAGGAAAAAAAAAAGTCTTCCTATTTCCTACTTCATTACATTATTATAAGAGCATTCCGATTAATTAGGCTGAAAAAAAATAATAAATCGCAGAATCACAGAACCGTCATGGTTGGAAGGGACCTCTGAGATCGAGTCCAACCACAAAAAATACAACAAACAAAAAACAACAAACAAAAACAACACACACAACACCACACCACATCACACCCACGGACAAACCAATAATCTTGGGCACTAGAGCATGCCCTGAAGAGCCATGTCTACACATTTCTCTCTCAGTAAAGTAATTCTTTCTAATATCTAATCTAACCCTCCCCTGCTACGACTTTAGACCATTTCCTCTGGTCCTGTCATTATTCACTTGGGAGAAGAGGCCAACACCCACCTCTCTACAATCTCCTTTCAGGTAGTTGTAGAGGGCAATGAGGTGCCCCCTCAGCCTCCTCTTCTCCAAACTAAACATGCCCAAATATACCTGACATGTCCCTGTGCTACATTCCCCAAATCCAGTTCACTTAAAGGGCTATTCAAACATCTGAAGAATTATCAGTTATCATCCTCAGAACCCTTCTAAGTGCTCCTGCATAGCAAGAATTACAAAGGTCCAAGAACCTGATGTCATACTATGCTTTGTGGAAAAAACACCATGAAACAGGGTGGCAGCAGACTGTGTTTTTTGGGTTTTTTTAGGCACAAGAATGGGATAGACTGTGTCCTTCCTTTACTTCCACAGTGCATCAACTAACAATGAAGTACCTGTGCATGGTGGATAGATATGGAAAATAGTACTTTTCAGGATTCAGTCGGAGGAATGGGAGATTACATTCCTTGTCAAATATTATATCCTTTTCAAAATACATACTAGTCAAATATTATTTCTTTGTCTCAACAGCAACTCAGCTACCCCCATGAACTGTGGCTGGAGGCAAAGACATACTTCAGCTAGCAACTTTACTCTGCACCATGTATGACAATCTCCTTGTAATTAAAATAGCCTCCATGTTTGGTTGAATGTTACTGATTGGTTATTCTGATTTCCTGTCTTTCAGAGGTTACAGTCTTCATAAATTCAAGTGATAAACATTCAGTGAAATTTTGTTTCCTTGAAGGAATTCTTCCGAGAGGACTCTCAGTCATACACAGATTTCCCCTCAGACTTTGGAGTTACATCATTATTCATGACAAGCTTGATCTTAACTTTTGTTTTTTTAGAAACAATTTCAGGGCTTTTGTTAATAGTTTGTCACTCTGTGGCATGTAACCTCTCATATACCTAATCTAATGACTGAAATATCTGGACAGCAATCTTTACAAAATGCAGTAGGTAGTATCAGTAATAACTGTACCCTGCTGTGAATGTTCACAATGGCCAAACCCTTGAGCTCGGAAAGGGCTTCTAGCTTTTGCTGGAAATCTGACTTGAGCTAGATAGTTTTTAAAAACCTGCGAAGCAGCATTTGTTCCCCTAAGAAAATCTAATTCACACACAGTAAAAACCAAAGATTTATTTGTAAAAAGGTGTTACTTACCTCACTCAAATCGCCTTCTTCACTTGCTGCGTCACTAAGGGAAGAAAAATAATCATAACTACTTTGAAGTACCAGAGGAGATTTAAAATACTGTTTAAAATAAAAAATTTTGTTTGGTTAGACACTTGAAATTTTTGTCAACCTAGTCATTTACATCATCCTCACATTAATCTTAAAAGTATCAATTAATCATATTTTTCATAGTTTGACTGTAATAATAATTTCTAATTAGAGATTTTAAAAAAAACCCAAAGGATAAAAAACACAGGATAAATTCTAACCGTATCTTGACCTATCCAGACAAAACACTAATGTATACAATTAAAAGAAAAAAAGGCAAACAAAACACAACAGACTCTTTAGCAGGTCCTGTTTTGATAGTACAACAGTTTTAAATTGAGAGAGGGCAGATTCAGACTAGATATAAGAAAGAAATTTTTTATAATGATGAGGGTGAAACACAGGAACAGGTTGCCCAGAGAGGTGGTAGATACCCCCTCCCTGGAAATATTCAACGTAAGGTTGGAGGGGACTTTGTGCAACCTGATCTAGTTGAAGATGTCCCTGCACATTGCAGAAGGGTTGGACTAGATGAACTTTGAAAGTCCCTTCCAACCCAAATTATCCTATGATAAGCAAATTCTCAGGAGTTGATATATCTCCATGGAATTGTCTCAGCTCAACACTTAACAGTGGTTAAAAAAAGCAAATCAGAAGTTAAGAAGTATTAAAAAGAAACAGAGAAGAAAGCAGAGACTCTATGCAAACATACAGATTTGTGATTTACCTCATTTTTAATGTTGTTTAGATTTGGAAAAAAAAAAAAGGGCTGGGAAGTGCAACAAGAGTAACCACATGAACAGAATAACCTGTGTGTGAAGAAAAGTTGAGTATGCTTTAAAAGTTTAGGCTAGAAAAGAGATGGCCTAAGAAGGGATTGTGGTAAAGAAAGGTATAAAAGGGACTGACTGCTCAGTATCTCTTCCAGTGTAAGAGATAGAATTTATCAAACGATGCCAGTAGCAGCCAGGTTCAGAACAAAAAAGGGAGGTACTTCTTGCAGAAGACAGAATGATGTAAATGTAAACAATACCTTAAGAGACTGAATAAGTACTTTGATGGGAGCTCTTTTAAGTATTACTAAATAGACAAATCACATCAAACTCTTGACAGTCCACTGAGCTGAAAGTAGACAGAGGCTGGAAGATTACTCAGGTAAACATTATGCTTGCCCTGCTTTTATTCTCTGTTGTGCATCCAGTTATGGCTAATGTTGGTGACAGCATAGAGGGTTAGAGAAATATCTGGTCCAATTCATCATTGCCATTCTTAATTTCTTAAAGAGTAACAGACAAACAATGAGTACACAGGATGCTAATCAGGTCTAATATCCTGGAAGTAAATCTGTTAAAAAAATTGGAAATCACATATTAACCTTTTGACAGCAGGAACTGAGCTTAGATGTGGATCATCCTTCAGTAGATCATGACTACTTTTACTTTTTCCTTTCATGCTCTGTCAAAAGAAAAGAAAATAAAAGAAAAAAGGTATTAAAAAACTTCAGTGTCTGAGAGAATAGATGGTGAAAAAGGATAATGGTAAGAAAAAGACAACTTGTTTCTTGTTAGCTTAAGCCTAATGAGTTAGCACAAACACTTTTAACAGCAGAAGAAGAGAGGAAGTGTTCCAGAAAGAGCTGCATCAAACTGATCACATAGATTAAAACAGTATTTTTGCAACTGCAATGCACTTAATTTTAAAGGAAAAAAAAAAAACACCACAAAACAAAGAGATTGTTTAATCATCACAATCTTTACACATCATAAAGATACATGGTTTAGTACTATATATTTGAGTGAATGAAGAGGTAAGAACTTGACTTTCCCATAATGGCATATTACAATGCAATACATATCAATTGGTAGGACACTAATTAGACCACTAGGGGAAAAAAAAAAAACCAAAACAGAAAGGAAATAACAACCTGCAATACCTCAAGCAGGAATCACCTATTGAGGCAAGCAGTCAAATAAATGTAAGGCCACACAAGCTATTCAGGCAGAAAGACACTATGTAATGCAAGAAATGCAGTAAGAAAGCATTCCCTGTGCTAATCCAGAAACTACACTTAAATTTCAGACTGAAATCAGACTGAAAATCTCTTTACAGAAACAGTCTGTATTGTGACCTGAATGTCTCTATTTCAGTTGCATTTTATAATCCTTTCAGGAAGACAGCAGTTGTGTGGATAATAAAATCTTACTTCTTCAAACACAACTTCAAATTTTTATTTTGTAGAAAAAAAGACTAACACATTCAGCAACATGAAGAATTACTTCCTTCAACAAGTAATTTGTGTGTGCGATCAGGAGTTAGATAAAATATTAGACAAGGGCTTATTACCTTTATAAACTGCTTGAAACAACTAAAATTAATTGAGCAGTTTGGACACCGGAAGATTCAGCTTAAACACTAATCAACACCCAGTGGGGATCCCACTGTCAGGTCTCTAATGCCTTAGTGGGAATGATTACTGCACTAATAGCCTCAGTGGCCTTTCCCTGGAGATGCTCTGCCTATGACCACCATTTCATCTCAGGCCTGACAATCCACTTGCTGCCTGAGCTATGTCAGAGGTGTATCTGTGTTCTGGATGGGCCTATTGGTCCCACACCGTTGACGTCTCCAGCACTGTTTTCTGTCCCATCTCTTGCCATTTCTGACTGTACTCTTTGGATGGGGCCCTTGGTCTTCGTTATTGCTTGCCACGTCTAGGACTGTTGATGGACCCTATTAGCAGGAACCTACTCTGCCTGCTGTATCCAGACCTTGTGGAATTGTGCCCCTGTTGGTGAGTGCACAGCCTGTGCTGGAACCACTCTTGCCTCCTCATCCACTCTCCCTCAGGCAGCCACTCTGCTCTTGCCTCTCCTCGACACAAACTTCCCTAATCCTGTAATCTCTGCCTTCTGTAACCTCCTGGGGTGCACAAATTTTCTAAGATTCATACTCTCTATAACATAACCATTTAGAGACTCTCCTGATATAGAAGATACAATCTGTCCTCTAACATTTAAAAGACAACAATGGCCCTAAATTCTTGTTTAATCTCTTTTTGAAAGTATTTACGCTTCTCACTTCAGTCATGTTCTGTGGCATAAATGTTGAAAACTTCAACCCCAAAATGAAAAAATACTTTTTCTTTGTATATTTATTTGCTCATTTATCTTTGCATCTCAACTTTAACATTGTAAGAAATAGGGAATAATCATTCTCATCTTTCTCTCCCACTCTTCCTTTTGTTTTATTTTAAAATTACCATGATCCATATCCCCAGTTACCCTTCTTGCCCTTCTCTGTACAGTCTCAGGAATGACTCTGGTGATGCACTGCAGTAAAAGCAAAATTTATTCCCTCACTTAGACTAGGCCAGAGTATAATATTGGTCATAATGGGGAAAATGGAGAAAAGACTTACAGAGGCGATCTTAAATTCAGTACTCACTTGGCTAATATGGCAATGTCAGGTTAGGAAATGTCACATCAACTATCTCTGCAACTCTAATTTTGTGAATGTGGACAATTCACAATAGTGCAATATTTAATTCCGAAAATGCACTATAATTCCACTTGAATTTGCACACAGAATGGATATACATAAGAAAATGGAGCTAAGAATGCACTGGCAATGAACAAGTTCACCTATTTCAAATCTCAAGCATTCTACCACCAAATCACACTCTTATAATTAAGGATGTGAAGAAAAACAAAGTTGCTATCAGCTCTATGAATTTTAAACACGGACATACATCTGCACTATGAAGTATGAAGTTTTATGTTATGGAAATGTAGAAATATCATGCAGTAACTAAAGGCATCTTTAAAGTTAGAAAAGTTAAAAGCCTCTGTTTTTTCAACATGTTAAAATAGCAGAAGATAAAAAATGAAGTTATTTCTAATACTATTGTTCACAACTCCAATATAAGAACAAGATGCAGAACTTTAAAGCTTTTACAAACATACAAAATAAGGTAAATTTAAGTTGAAAAGAAAAAAGAGGATGATTTGGGAAGGTACCTGACTAACTCTATTGACTTCCTCCTCTTCTTCTTCAGCTTCTTCCCCAAAGGAAAGCAGATTAAAATTTCTTTAAGAGAGAAAACACATTTTCTAGTACAACTTGAAATAGGGTTTCATTAACATTCCATAAACTTTAAACATATTACTTTCATGTTGTATGCAATTTCTCAAAAAAGCTTTTTATTCTGCTAAATGTTCCAATTTCAAACAACTATAACACACTGTTTTGCAATACGCAGAATATTTCAAGAAACATATTCTATTCTATTCTATTCCTGCAACAAAACAATCATGATAGCTAAGCATCACTTAGAAAATGGTAAGACGAAATTTAAGAAATTCTGCCTTAACTAACTTTCACAGACTCTTAAATGCTGACAGCTCTGAAAACAGACAGTTGTATTTTTTTCATTTTTTCTTCCTCTAACAGAGCAACACTGAAGTACAAACCACAAAATTTTCAAGATATGGCAGCTCAGAAAGACATCAAATGCCTATACATTCACAGAATGTAATTAAAAGAAATAATGATTTTTTTTTTCAAAAGTAATTGTTTATAGTATGTTGAAACCAGTCACCTGCAACATGTTGTGTTTTTGTCCAACAGAACTGACAGCATATACGCACTTCAAATTTCCTACTACTTTTCATGGCATGCTTATGACTACCAAATTTCATTCACAGAACCTGAAATTTCCTATGTCAAAATGCCTGCCTTTTGCTAAGTTGTTTAGTGGGAGAGAAGTGGTAGCTGATAAAATAAGTTCAAAACCCTCAAATAACCGAGCTATGACCTAGTTACTAGTATGTATTAACTTTGGTGTCAGCCACAAAAGCACAATTACACGCTCTCGCCCATGGGAAAGGTTTAAGACACCTTTTACTTCTCTTTTGCAACAAACTATCAGCAAACATGAAACAGTTACAGCTCAGCTGATGCACAGTAACCACTTAGGTCACATCAACTAGATCTGTCCAATCATTTCAGAAACAGGGAAGAAATGTTTGCTAAGATTAGGGAACATTCCTGTGCATTTTGGTAAAGCTTTGTGTTTCAAAAGCAGAAATAGAAAATTACCAAGCTGCAAATTAAAGGTGAAAGAAAATTAACCACCACTTATGTTGCATGTATTTACTTTGTGCCTTTTACTTTGGACTTTTTAATTTCTTCTTCTGGCTTCTCCTTCTTCTGCTTTCTACTCGGTCTTGGAACAATATCATCAAAAGGATTAAACAAAACCTGTTAAAAAAGCATTATTTTAGACATGTCTTTAATAAGCACTTTGTTATAATTAAATGGTTCACTATTTTAAAATATATAAAAAGACAAGCTAAGTTTTCCTACGAGAACACAGTTTTCCAAACACTATGAACAAAATATTTTAAAACTTCAAATTTCAAATGAGAACATACTTACCTCACTACTTCTTATTTTGTGTGGACTGAGAGGTCTCTCTTCCTTGTCAACTTCTACTTCAGCCAGACGCAACATGTTATATATTGTATCCCCTGTAACCTGTCAAATTCATAAAAAAGGTTAGAGAGTCCTTGCCTATAAATTTTGTTAACTATTCTGCAACATTATTATGTAAAGAATTTTCAAGATACAAATGATGCAGAAATACTGTAAGCAAGACTTCTAAAAGACAGCAAGTACAATGTACAAAGGTTTGTGTTTAAATTTTAAATTTCACAGCTGAAACAGTTTAAAAATTGAAGGAACACAGGTAGCTTGACATGCATTTTGAGAGTGTACAGAGGGGGAGATGTCAAATTCTTACTCTGAGCTGTGAAAGAGGAAAACGAAAGACAACGTGAAATTAAAAAAGTAGTTGCTTTTCTTTCAAGTAAATCATGAGAGTGGCAAATTCATTTTATGCTTTTCCTTTTCTTGATTCTTCTTGGGTAATTAGAATTTACAGTTTTCCAACTCTGTATTAGATGAACTGATTCATAAGACAGAGCCATAATAATATTAGTAGGATTATTCAAAGGAAGCACAACACCAAAATATAACTCAGAAGAATAACAACAGCAAACCAGGTAATTATGGGAACAGCCCATAGAAGCATTACTATCAGACGTGGGAAACATGGAACGGAGACAGCTTAGAAAACACTGAAATAAATTTCAAATGTACATAGCAGCAAACACCACTAAAATAGCGTTTGAATACAGAGGAGCTTCTGTCAAACTCAAACAGGGACTCTAGTCTGTGTAGCAAACCTTTCCAAAGATGGTGTGCTTGTTATTAAGTTCATCTGCACGACCCAACGTAAAGAAAAATTGGCTCCCGTTATCATGGGGCCCAGCATTTGCCATAGCAACGAGTCCTCTTCGATTAAATCGCAGTCGAGAGTGGAATTCATCCTGGCAAAGACAGAACAGAAATGAAAACAATTTATGTAAAGTATCTGTACATTCCACTTCCTTAGCTACGGGTTATTTGCATAGATATGCACACACAGAAAATATGCTCTTAATGTTTTTAAAATTCAGACAGTTATAAAACTAAAGTATTTTGAAACCGCATGCCATAACTGTATTTAAAACCTTCTGTTTTCAGCAGAAAAGATAATTTTTAGTCAAAGATTTTTCTTCTTAGTGCTGATAATAATGCAACAAGTGAACAATCTTTTTTCAGAAAAAACCATAAACACATAACCAACAAATATCGAAAGACAAAAATTAGAAACTACTATATCAAAACCAGAAAGACACAATTTAATAAAAACTCTAAGTTTTGTCTTGTTAACTTTCTCTTTTTTCAGTTATTGCCTACTAATTGTTACTTATTACTTTTGTTGGAATTTATTATCCTCTAAATATCAAAAAAACCTAAAGCATTTCTAAAAGTAACTGCATTTCATACATTTCTCATAAAACTAGCACTCCTGTTAACCGCTGTATTCAGAAGAAAAAATCCTACTTTGTGTAAAATAATTAAAAGGTCAGTAACAGGTTGTAATTGTACAGTATTGCAAAAATCCATAGGAAGAACATTTTCTGGACCATGAGAAAAAAGAATAGGACTACTTTCAAAGCAAGGTGAAAATGGTGATTAATATATTAATACCATGATAATATCAACAACTCCAAATACTGCAATACCGAGATATCACCAATTTTAAGCAGTGATGCTACTACAATGTTGGTAATATCTCCTTTGCTCTCTGCTCAGGTACAACCCCTTCCACAAACTTCACGTTTCATATAGGTATGAATCTACACTAGCAGCAGGGAGACAGAAAATGCAGAGACAGGCTATGAAGCTTCAGTCGTGAGCTAAGGTGCCTGCCCCATCTGAACTAAAACAATTGGGCAGAAAGAACACACATGCTGTGTGTGTGTCACCTCACTCAGACTCCGGATCTAAGCCTTCTGGTTAAGAGATGAGCCATGCTGGTATCAACACCACCAACGAACACATATACAACATTGAGACCTTTGCTAGATGAGATACAATGTGCATAAACAATGTACAATTCTGCATCTGAGTTTGCCACATATCAACACCAACTCTTCACTCTTCCCCCTCCCTATTTTTCCTTGTGAAGTTCACACTAGTATACACTATACATGCTGGTATACATTATACATTTATCATAATATCAGGACAGCTAGATTAAGAACTCCCAATTCAAAAGGGCATACTCAAAAAATACTGAAGTAACATGTGAAACCAATTACTCTACATGTATAATGTCACATTTCTAATATAAGATTTGTTTTCTCACAATCTAACACAGTAGGAAGACCAACCAACCAAGAATAAACAAAAATTAACTCATAAGAGATACCGATACGTACTTTGAAAGGAGCTCCGTAGATTGAATCTCCACCTGATCCAGTACCAGTGGGATCACCTCCCTGCACTATAAAGCCAGGCACTACTCTGTGAAATATTGTGTTATTGTAATACTCTAAAAAAAAAAAAAAAAAAAAAAAAAAAAAGGATGTTAAATACATGTAAATGGTTTAAAAAAAATCAAACTTTCATATAAATTATGCAGAGATGTCTAGAGACTGAAGTTGCAGAAAGCAAGTACTGTAACTGGATTCTGCTATTTCCACTGGGTTCCCTCCTCTTCTACTGTCTTGCTCAGTGTGACTGTATCCAGCTTATGAAAAAAAAATAAAAATGTGATATCATATGCTTCTCTTGCAAAAGACACTATACACCACAAGCAAGATGACACTGATTAATTATTTTCTTTTCAGATTTTACGCTTTATCACTGGAATGATACTACCAACATACATCAATTTAAATTGAAAGGTAAAACTACTATGCTGTGTCCCAATAAACATCTCACATACATCATTAGTTATACCCATAAACAAAAAAGATTAGCACTTCCAATCACCAGCATGGACTACAAGTGTCACCTCTTTCACCCCCTACACTGTGCGCAAACTGATCCTTTTCAAAGAATGAAATATTTCGCTCCCTAAGTTATCCTTCTTCCTATCTATCTATCTATCTATCTATCTATCAGATAAGGGTGATGAGATTATAAGAAAACAAAAGGAATGAAAAATTTACTTGACATATTTCTGGTTGATTTTTTTTTCAAGAAGTGAAAATAAATCTGCAGCATGCTGCAAGGCAAAGCAGGATGTGCAAATGTTACAGCATAGCTAGATGTACTAATGGATGGTTATATGCTAAGATACTCAGAAGAGCATTTACTATATGAAGCATAAGATTCTACACAGCAGTCAGACAAACCCAGAAAGGAAATAAAGTACAGTTCTTTAACACTAAGGATAACTGAACTCTTAGGACTTACCAAGGGCCAAGAAATTGATTTACCATTGCAAAAGATCTCTACATTTGCACATTAAGCATAAGAGCACTGAACAGGCTGGATCTGTGCTAGAGGCACAAATGCCAGACTGCTATTTTTCCTCAACGGAGGACGGCTAAAAGAATTCTTAACCACGCTATAAATGCATAAATGGGATAATAGCAGCAGCTAGAAAACACATAAAGGCACCAACCAAGTCCTTCACAAATTCTTGTTACTATTTTCCAAATAGGAAGCTTCTCATTCTGGTACCCGCTTCTTCAATGAAGAGCATTACAGAGCTTCCACCAAAAAAAGCTACAGCAAGTGAAACATGAGAAGCACTCAAGAAAAAAAAGAAAAGGTAGTAAAGATGGTAATACAGAAATAAGAATTTTGGAGGATGTTCAATATTGCATCATTGACATTTCAAACATACATTAAAGAAGTAGTTATAATTTGTAGAGACTTGCTGAAAATAAGCCTTCCCAAGCATTTGACATACAACTTTTTAAGAAATACTGTCATCTGCTACATTTGAGAAAACAATCTAAATTTTTTTTTTTCAACTGGGTTCCTTTATAACCTTGAAAAACATTGTCTGTTAGTTAATATTTTCTAAATACAAATAAATTCATTAACTATTAAAGTTAAAACACAGTTATGATCTCTATTTTACAAAAAAAAGGCACAAAGATGGCATATGAAATAATTTCAACAACACCTATCCTATTCAGTCATTACCTTCCATACAAAGCTGGATGAAATTTCGACATGCCTTTGGTGCTTCTTTTGACCACAATTCTATATCTATATCTCCTGCTGTTGTTCTCAACAAAACCTATAAAAATAAAGATAAATACATCATTAGTTTTATTGTAACATAGTCACGGATCAGACAATATCATTGCTGAGCTAAAAAAATACATCTGAATACTTTATATTAGTAAGAATAATAGACATTCAAATGTGCCAGGTCGCTACTGTTAGTTCTAGATAGTACTTTCAAAACATAACATGCAGTTCTGACCGATAGGTATAGTAAGGCTTAAAGGCCAACGACCAGGTATCTGACACATGACAGAAACTTAGATACCCTTTATCACTTCCATAATGAAACAACATTAAAAAAAAAAAAAAAACAAAAACAAAACCAAAACCAAGTCATAAATATCCAAAGGCATATAGAATCATAGAATGGTTAGAGTTGGGAGGGACCTTAAAGATCATCGAGTTCCAACCCCCCTGCTATGGGCAGGGACACCTCCCACTAGACTAGGTTGCTCAAAGCCCCATCCAGCCTGGCCTTGAACACCTCCAAGGATGGGGCATCCACAGCTTCTCTGGGCAACCTGTTCCTGTGCCACACCACCCTCAAACTGAAAAAAATTCCTTCCTGATATCTAATCTAAATCTACCTTCTTCCAGTTTGAAGACTTTACCCCTCATCCTATCACTACATGCTGTTGCAAGCCTCTCTTACAAGTAATGCCATTAACTTTGTTATGAGATCATTAAAAAGATGTTCATTAAAAAGATGTTCAAGGCAAGGCTGGATGTGGCCTTGAGCAACCTGCTCTAGTGGGAGGTGTCCCTGCCCATGGCAGGGGGGTTGGAACTCGATGATCTTTGAGGTCCCTTCCAACCCTAACCATTCTATGATTCTAAAAAAATTAAGAACCTAAGATACACTCGAGAACAGAGGAAATTAGG